GCAATTGTATATTCAAACCTATCAGACTCCCATCTTGACCTATAAAAATACTGCCTACGCACACTATTAGCGTCGCGACGCCTACATCACAGTTTCGACGCTTGCTTTCTGAGGGTGTTAATTGGTGGAAGTGTAATTTCCAACCATACTGCCGTTTCTGCCTTATATCGGTGGAATTAAGTAAACACACATACAACACCAACCGGTTTCCTTTCATATACGATTAGCCAGGAATCCTGTTATCGACCTTCTTGTTCAAGTTTTTTCAATTTTACGTCTATTTTTTATTTTTACAAAATAAATGTATATACAAGAATGTCATAGGCAATGGCCATCCAGCCTTTTACACTTATACATTTTAACGCTCATGCAATGTTGAGGTTCGTAAATTTGTTGGCATAGGGGAAAAGATAGGTGTGAGCTCATTTCTCTTGTCACACACTCACACAAGCGCACGGTCTACACTGCAGATTACATACTGACACATGCAAGCCGGCACTTGTGGAATCCTACGTTCAGGCAGGTTGGCCTATATTAAAACAACAACAACAACAACAACAACAACAACAACAACAACAACAACAACAATAATAATAATAATAACAATAATTTAATTCCTTTAAGTGATTGCCAACAGTAAGTGGCCTATAACAGGCGAACACTGAAAGTATATGTAACAAATAATAATAATAATACTGTATCAACGCAGATGGGAATATACGATGACAAATCTGAGGTTCTCACAGTGATTACTATTACGAAGAGTACGACTTCTGGGTTATAAGGCTGTGTAGTTGGGCGAAATTTTGATGCTTTGGAAGAACTGACTGCCTCCGCCTTCGGGGCTGCCGAATACGACAAGCAAAAAGCCAGTAAGAAGATTCATTAACATTCGACCCTGAAGATGGAAGCAATATGTTCAGGCTTTCCCTAGACAATATGGCGTTACAACACAGGAAAACATACTCTTCACTACATTCAGCATAACCCTCGTACAGGTAAAACAAATTGTTTCACTGAAAACGAAATTCGACGCTGCCAGAACGAGAGCACTCCACTGGACCCGAACTTTTACCAGGTTAACCCAATTTATATCATATAAATTAGGATTGAATTCCATCAGGTGTTTTTTAATAATAAATCAGAGTCTTTAAATGTGTCAGCCAATGATGGACATCACTGGAAGGTGACCAACACTTAAAAGGAAATGCTTCCCATGTATTGACTTGTAGGGGTAAAACATTAGTATTTAAAACATGTTTTGTTAAAAATAACAGATTTTTTTATTGTTTACAATCTTGCTGTGAGTCCCAGTGATGGCTGTGTCCCTTCACAGTTGGTTGTATGTACTGTGTGTGTGTGTGTGTGTGTGTGTGCGTGTGTGTGTGCGTGTGCATGTGCATGTGCAGGGTTGCAATGTTGTGTACAATATGATGGAGGGAAGGATGCATTCCTGAAGAGTGGGTTGTTGCTACTGAAGCACTAACAACCACCACTCCCTAAACTATATTTGCTTGTGCTATATTGTAAATGGAGCATTCATCTGCTTTCTGAACAGGAATGTTGTAGCATACCCTTATCTGGTAGTACAGTAAAGTTTAATTTACTGAGAAGTCATCTGGGATTCAACTTAAAAAACTGATAAAGGTTACAGCTACATAAAGCTGTCATTATTACAGGAATACCAAATTCCACAGATGATATATCAGGGTGTAGCAAATTTAATGATTTCATGAAGCATTCTTGAAATGATTCTATTGTATGATATATACAATATACACATATACGTAAGTAAAGTAAAAAAGTAAAGCTATCCCTGTAACAGGCCATGAAAGCCCATAGGGCTGTGAGACACTGATGGTCCCACATTATCTAGACCAGCGTTTCTCAAATTATGGTCCGCGAGGTGTGCCCTTGCGGTCCTTCAAAAAAGACAGAAGAAAAAATAAAATTCAAATGAATTGCATATCACACTATAGCTGATAATCTCAGAGTTTCGAAATTGCACACGGCAATCGTCTTTCACTTCTACTTATCTGTGTGAGAAAGGGTTTTTATCACTAAGTCCAATAAAAACAAAGTATTGAAATCGACTCGATGTATGTGACAATCTCCGACTTAAGCTTACCAGCTACATCCAAATATAGAACAACTGTGCAAGAATCGGCAGGCTCACCAATCTCATTAATGTGAGTACCAACATTTATTTATTTTTTTAGTTAATAAGTTAAAGATTATCCAAATTCTAATAGCCTTGAGTTATTAAAAAAGAATATGAATTTTCTTCTATCAACTTAATTACTTAATACTAATATAAAATTAATTGAATTAGATTAATTTTAATTAATTCTATTTTAAAATATAGGTATACTGGTATTAAAACATGCTAAAAAAATGATAACTTTTCATTCGAAGGGAACAAGAGTAAGGTGGTCCGCAGAACTGTTCTGACTTATAAAAGTGGTCCCCACTTCAGAAAAGTTTGAGAAACGCTGATCTAGATAATCGGCTCAAAGATGACGGTAAGGTTGTCAGCCTTACGCGCCGGCCGCGCTTTACTCCCCAGGAATATTATGTAATTAATTCCTGGTATTCACTTCTGTTAGAGGCTGAGTCGATCCCAGGGCCATAGTGCGGCTGGAAGGATTAGGTCAATTGAAATCCAATGACCTCATCAGGACTTGAACCCACGACCTTCCGGCTTTTAGCATAGTGCCTCAACCAACTCTGCTACCCCGTGCCCATATATATATATATATATATAGTGAAATCTCAAGTTTGGATACATTATACTTGATAACGTAATCATAAATTGTGTCATTTTCAATATGAAGAAATCTGAAGGCATTTTAAAAATTTTATCTGCATAACAAGATTGCAATGAATAATGATTGACAGAAAATAAACCAAGCCCATCCCATCATCCATTGTGAGATTGTGAAGGTGCTGATATAATTCTGGAGATAAAGATGAAAGCAAGTCAAGAAAATAAATTTAGATTACATCAACTGATAATCCCACATTCTTGTATCAATTATAATTATATTGCTGTTATAATATCATCTGATACAGTAATGTTTAGATGGCATGTTACAATATATTTCTACTTGGCTTTCCTGATATTACATGCCAGCTTCAGTTTCTTTATGCATTATTGGGCTATTTAAAATATACAGTGGAACCCCATGTAGTTCCATGGAATTTCCATTATTGTGGGTTGCAAGACTGTATTAACACAGCATTTTCTTGGACAGAGTAGAGCCTGCCCTCTCAACAGCCTGTACACAGACAACATTGATCAAGAAAGACAGTTAAAGGAATCAAGCTCCAGACCTTCTGAATATGATGAAAAAGTGGTATACATCATACATTTATTTATGGTTTATTTAATGATGCTGTCAGTAACACAGACTACATTCATATACCCTTGAAGGGAAGTAGTTACAATAGCAGTTACTTTCTGGTAACTGCCTGAAGAGAGAGGAAAATCAAGGAAGTCCTCACTTAAGCCAATTTGCTCAGTAAGCATTTATATTATACTGTGATGCCTATTCATATTTGGATCTGCTACTGCCTTGGCATTTGTAACTACTTATGCTCCTAAGGTCAGTTCCTTGTCCACTTGTTGGCCCACTCAGGTACTCACCTCTTCTTCTACCTTCTCTGCACCGTACTAAACTGAACTGACTCAGAGCTCACTCATCTGCTCTGTACCGAACTGAACTCACTAACTTCTCATCTCCTTCCGTGCAGCACTGAACTAAACTGGTAATAAAAGGTAGAGTTGTTCCTGTGATTAACTAATTAAGCACTATGCCTTGAAGGTGCATGCGGGAGTGGATGTATAGACCAATGTGTTCTTCTCTGCACCGTACTGAACTGAACTGACTCAGAGCTCACTCATCTGCTCTGTACCGAACTGAACTCACTAACTTCTCATCTCCTTCCGTGCAGCACTGAACTAAACTGGTAATAAAAGGTAGAGTTGTTCCTGTGATTAACTAATTAAGCACTATGCCTTGAAGGCGCATGCGGGAGTGGATGTATAGACCAATGTGTTCTTGACCTTGGCAATAGGTGGAGGTGAGGGGTCAGCTTCACGCCCCTGCCACTTTACCGTGGGTACCCATTGGATAGGATGCTGGATGGGCCCCAGATCCAGCCCGGACAACATGTAGAAGAGAACATTTTTGACCCTACTGGGACTAGAACTTTGATCCTCTGGTCGTCCAGCCTGTAGCTAGTTGCTATATCGACTGAGCTATTCAAGCTCCTGGTTCATGTGAGAAATTGACATGTATTATAAAGGTGCAGGAACGCTTGGAAAAGGTTTTAGGGAGTTCTCAGACAACACTGGCCTTCAGAGTCAGCTGAGCTACTTCCAGGATGTATCGAAAGGTAAAAAGATGGGTCTCACATTATAGACATGTGCAGGCCAGGCAACAATAGTTTATTTTAGAAGCCAATTACACAGAATTACAAGAAAGTAAAACTACGAGTTCCACTGCAAATCACAAACTATGTGTAGTTATGCAACTGTACATTATTACTAATTTAAAGGCTCTGCTAAATACTGTACAAAATTTGCAAACATGATTGGAACTGCTTTTAACTCATTCACTGCTTGTTAACACACTGAGTTTCTGCTAATTAGACAGGGTAAACACCACAAATATTTATAATTACTGGATTTCTGGACTTTGTCCATCATCCAGTATCCGAGAAACTAGAAAACACATTTCAGAAACTAGGTCTGTTTCTAAACTGAAGTGGGGAGGGGTGGGGGGAGACACCTACTCTGTTGGGTCCCTTAGAAAGAGCTAACCTCAAATCACTGGTTCAAAAACCCAGTAAGTAAAGTAAAGCTATCCCTGTAACAGGCCATGGAGGCCCATAGGGTTGTGAGATGTTGACGTTCTCATATTTTCTAGACAATAGGCTCACAGATGGCGGTGAAATTGTCAGTCTTATGCACTGGCTGCCCTTTCCCCCAGGAATATTCCTGGTACTCATTTCTGTTAGAGGCTAAGTCAACCCAGGGCCATAGTGCGGCTGGAAGGATTAGATCAATTGAAGGAATCCACCTCTTTAGAATTTGATCCCATGACCTTTCAGCCTGTAGCATAGTGCCTCAACCAACTACACTACCGCGTGCCCCCACCCAAAAACCCAGTAACTCTCGGTATTATACACCATCATAAGAATCCTTGAGAATCTACCACAGACATTACCTTATTGTAGTTCCAAACAAATAAGCTGTATGATTTTGTACACATCATAATAAAACACCTACTTCTTCCTCTTTGATCTCTTACATTTTCTTCTTTGTTTTCTTTTCTTCTTTTCTTGTTCAATTCTAGCCTTTAGAATTTGATCAGGCCGTTTCAATTCAGACTTCACTTTATTTTCAACTTTTTTGTTGTGTCGGCCCCAGTGAGTATTGGGGTAAGTCTTCAAACCTAAGGAGAGAAAATAAAAAACATGCATGTTCGTAAATTGCATTAGACTTCTATGACATTATTCTAGTAATAATCAGACAGACAACTAAATAAACAGGCTTATTAACTACATGTAGTGAAGTAAACATGTCTTTTAGATGGAGGAAAAGATTTGGAAATTAGCTATTACAAAATAATTCTACCACTGTATTACCAAGCAGTACAAGCAACACAAAACGTCAAAAACAAAAGCTGAGATATCTGTAATACTACTGCATTCATAAATAAAATACATATTCCAGCTTACATAGGTAACAGTATTTTCTCACATTTGACACCTGCATTTAGTTAAAATGGTTGAAGCCTAGTGGCAATAAGATAGCAGTGCAAAATGGATAAATTTTGGTTGGGAACAAAAAACATAACTTAGATGATTTGAGGCTTTCATAGCAGTGAGTATTCAAATCGTGGTCATCCAGGTTGCGATAATGTGCAATCCTGTAGATGTCTTGCCCTTCTTCAAGGTCAAAGTGAGTAGGATTAGATGTAGCCCTGAAGACAGGGACAGAAGTTCCTCCAAGAAGTTTCACATATTCTGCTGAGTAATTATTAAGCAGTGGCACACCACTACCACTTTTTCTTTAAGTTTCAAACATATAAGCTAAGAAGGTTCAAATCCTTCCAGAATATAGAAATTACAGGGACATACAGTGAGATATAAAAAGCAAAACAACAAAACTGACAAACNGCTTGCAGATTTCTTATACTTTTTCTTCTACCCTGAAGATGGGGGCGATACGTTCCTCCGAAACGTCGGTTAACACCACATATACACGGTGCCAAATCCCAGAAGACTGCTTTCTTCATAGTCACCGCCGTGAAAGCCTCAAATCTTACAAACTATAATTTTACCTACATGGAAGATCAAGGGCTTTTAAGAACTGGTGCTGGGTAAAATATTTTAACCTAACAGGGTTGACATGAAAGGAGAATGGAGAACTCTACATAATGAGCAACTTCATAATTTGTACCCTTCACCAAATACTATTAGTATCATCAATGAAGGAGGACAAGATGAGCATGACATGTAGCACACAAGGGACATGAGAAGTGCATAGAGTGAAGGTAACAGCCCGCTTGGAAGACCTATGCATAGATGAGAGAATAGTACTAAAATGTATCTTAGAGAAATAATATGGTAAGGTGTGGACTGGATTAATTTGGTTCACAGTAAGGACCAATAATGAGTCTTCTGAACACAGCACTGAGAGCAGATCAGATCAGCAGGGAGCGAGTCCTAGGCAGTCATTTATTGTAATTATGAGTGACTGTACAAGAAAATGTTAATAAATCCAATCATCTAACTCAAACTCCGTTATTATTTTCACGCCCATATGTCGTGACAATATAACAACTGCAGTGACTTAAAATCAGATGAATGCAATACATTTAAGTGTTTATAACTTAAGTAATAAAGCTCTCAATCACTTGGCATAAAATGAGAGAATGATTAATTAGTAATCAAATATAAAAATAAAGACAGGAAATTGCTGTGGCCTAATTTGAAGCACTAGCAAGGTATCTGTCTGGAGGAGGTGCGGAAAACCACAAAACCCAAAAGTCAGGACAGCCAGTTGCTGGGCTGGGATTTAAATGTACAACCATTCGGAGTAAAAAGCAAAAGCGTGACCAGTCAACCTCACATTGTTAGCGAATGCAGTCAGGTTGTCAGGAATTTCATATACTATATTGAAAGATGGCTAAGGCTCCTTGGACTGTTACAAATTTCACCAAACCGGAGTATACCACAACATACATATTTCCAGAACGAAGACTTTGCTTGAAGAGGCAGAATGATGACCTCTGTATAATAAAATTTCATACATCATCTATGAAATGTATTTTAAACATACCACGTAACTGGTTTCTCTTTTGATCTCCATGATCATCGTCACCATCATCTTCACTGTCTGCTGCAAAATCCTCTTCTACCTTCATTCTCTCCTTCCATTGAGCATACCGTTTACTTTTGTATGTGGCTGGGATCCATGCTCCAGACTCATCACGAATTTTCTTCACTTTCTTATCCTAAAAAAATAACATTAATAACTACTCACAGTAAGTGAGAAAAGAGTGGAAAGGTGTTCTCTAAATCAGAGTACACACATCTTCCAAATGTTGTTTTTTGATATTCTGTATACCTCAACAAAATATAGGTTCATTTACCGATATCAGAAATAGAAGTTCTTCACCTGGTATATGGCAGCTTTCCTTGTCAAGATCACAATATGCATCAAGGAAACAAAAACATTAAAATTAAGGAATTAAAATTTACTTATGTACTTAAAAAAAGGACTGGGAATGAGGATTCAAATCATATCTGAAAACCTACAATACTTGCACACTGCTTTAACAGTCATGGCTACAGTACATACGTATTGGCAAGAGTATGGAACACATTTCACAGCATCTTTGAGTGATTCCATATACAAAACTGGATATGGAAGCATTGTACTTCAAAGTGATTATTTATAAAGGTTGTTCAATAGGTAAGGATCCCAAGGCTATATAAATTACATGAGAAGTCATTACAACATAAATGTAGCTCAGTTATTTCACTGAAGTATCATCATTTTTCAGCATAATTCCTGAGTACATTGATGCATTTGTTCCATCTTGGCATGAGTTTACAGATTCCAGTGGGGTAGAAATCAGGCTCTTTCATTCACAATCATTCACCAATAGCCAGTTCCACTTCTCTCTTATTGTGGAATCAGCAACCTCCTAAATGATACTTCAGAGGCCCAGATATTCACAGCAAAATGACTGCAACAACCTTTTTGTCCAACAAGCACTGTGTGGGGTTGCACTGTCATGTCAAAGGGTCAATCACACCTTGTGACAGACATCCAATATGGGGAACTTAAATGACCAATAAATCAGGCAATGAGTATTTGTGGTGGGTGATGTAGATTAAGGGAGATCTAGTGTTGCTCATAACTACTAATTGGGAAAGACGTAATTTTTAAGAAAATTCAGGCCTTTATATTTTGCACTGCATTCATTGAACAAAAAATCACATTAGCTCTTAAATGGCATTATGTCCTCAATAAATTACATTCACATTAACATTCTTTGCAAGCATCTGGAATGGAAGTGAAACTACTTTGGAATCATCCTGTAACATACCCATTATATTCATTCACAGGAACATAATGCCACTCAAATTGTCTCTTTAAGACAATTAGAGCGCAAGGTATGACAATATGAATCTAAACTACTGAAACAGCAGTGGACATATTGCTTACTGTGCTATAGAAAACAGTTATGGTTGAAAAGCAACAAGCTTGAAACACAGGAATGGAGGGAGCTCAATGGACAAAAATATCTTATACATAAAGCATGTAGTAAGCTCAGTTACTAACCATATTAACAGCAACCATTTTCTTCTTTTTCCGATCCCAATGTTTTAATTTCTGTTGCTGTCTTAATGTTTCCTCACTGTCTGCAGTCAAATCCAACTTAGCTTTGGATGCCTCAAGTTCAAAGTTGTTTACCGAAAAACTGTTATAAAAAAAAATAAACTTCGATTATGAACACATCAGTTATGATTATCATCAACAAATCACTGGTATTGTTCCAGACTTTGGGGAGATGACATCCAGTCACCCAAACATTCAGACAACTGCTGGATCCACTGTGAGTACAAATATTGCTATGATCCTTGAACATGTCCTAACTCTAATGCTATAGCCAAACCCTTTTTTACTATGGAAGATCTCTACCCTATGCTTAGCCACAACTGGGCACTGACAAAGTATGTGGTATGAAAATTATTTCTCCTTTCCACATCTTGTATGTGGCACTTCCCAAGGGACCCACTATGGAGCTGACATACAAACATGCAGTGGCCAGTCAGTGTCCCTGTTGCCTCCTGTCCAGGGCCAGCTGGTTCCTAGAGTGTTTACTGGACAGCCCTTCAGTGATGAGTTTCAATTACCTCATAGGCAGCCCAATGTTTGGAATCCTCCTCCCTCAGTCACTTGTGAACCTTGAGCCCTCCAACACACCGTGGGATTTAAACTGCTGATTTGGGATGGGGAACGAACTACTCAATTCCTCCCTAACCAAGACATCCACACCATCATCACCCTACATCCCACATCAGTAAACCATACTCTTATGTTTGTTTTCATTTAGACATTTACCTCAAATTAATACTTTTACATTCATCAAATTATATCAGATGTTATTCTGACAATATAAATTCAGAAGTTCATTTGATTGTTGGTGAATGCAATTTCTAATATAACAGGCTGATAATCAATGAAATTTTATGAATTCAGGATATAAGAAGGGAAGAAATGGAAGCATAATGGCACAGTATTTCAAGAATTTATTGATTACAAAGTTTCAGTTAGGAGAAAGATATTATACAAAATGTTAACTGAATTTGTGTTATGCAAAAATTTATTAGGATAGCCAATATCTAAATAAAACTTACAAATACAAATATAAATCACTCCGTCCAATGTGACCTGTAAGTTTTTTACTACATGAAAACCTAACACCCTTACATGTTTCGGTCTCTGTGGACCATCCTCAGAGCGCAAACATCACCACAAATAGGAAACCACCATCATATAAGTGTGTGTGAGACCGAAACATGTAAGGGTGTTAGGTTTTCATGTAGTAAAAAACTTACAGGTCACATTGGACAGAGTGATTTATATTTGTAATTGTTAGTGTGACGGACCAGAATGAAACAAATCAAAAACTTACAAAAATCTGCACAGTTAATCCTTTATCTAATAAATTTTAATAATTTATGTACAAACCAGAAAATAAATATAAATAGTACTACATTTACAAAAATATGGGCTGATGATGACTGAGATGGTCATTTGAATGACGGATTTTGTTTCAGTTTGTTAGGACAAGTTTGATTCCAACTAATGCACTTATCACACTGCTAATTATTCTAGTCATGAGCCAAATTCTCATAATGGGGATTCTAGTATAGTTTTTACTCTCTGCCTGGTACAGATGAAAAGAATACAACTTAGGGAAGTACTTCCATGAAGTTAGACCACATCCACACCTGTCCTTGAAACTAATGGCAATAATTAAAACAGTGATTACCAACTGACAGCTGACAAATATAATACCACTATTTTAATGAGATTTTACTTTGACAATGAAGTAAAATGGCAACTGTACCTAGTAAATCCATTCATAACTAGTACGACTTATAAATCCTTTCATCAGGATTATGTAGCAGAAGGAAGTCGGTGATCAGGCAGGCCTGTGATAGGAATGGTAGACGGAACAATTTTCCTGCATTTATATTGCTCTCCAGTCACAAGTTTGAGAACCACTTCTCTAAATTATATATATGTAATCCTTCTATATGCCTTCTCATTTATTCCCCAAAATATGCATGTCATATGTTGATTTCTCCAGCGTTTGGCTTCTATTAATGAAATTACCTGGCATCAGTAGTTTATACGACAGTCCTAAACATGTTAGGAAATACCATCTAATTGTGATTACTGTTGTTCTTTATAGTATTACAGAGTTTTAAAACTCTTATAAACAGGGGTGAACAAATGGTGGCTCAGTTCACCAGTATGACAAAATTCTACCTGCCAGACATTTCTCCAAAAGAAGCTGTACCTACTCATGCTATTGTAATTGTGCCATATCAACCTACTTACGGTCACATAACACACTTATAATGGCTGTACAAGATATGATTTAGTATTCAGTAACTGTGGGGAAACAAGAGGAGAATAGGAGAGAATATTAAGGCATAAATTCAAACATTTTACACTTGATGGCCTTGATTTTCCACTTATCATGGATGAGAAAATGAGTGGGTTTGTTGAGCTCTGCTGACAAACATACCCACCCTTGCTCTGTATGGTGATCTGGAGCTGTGTATGGAATGTAATGCATCTCATCCACCAAAACTTTTCTCTTTTTCTCTTTCCGTACCGTCTGAGAATCATGTTTACGTTTCTTAGGTGCAATAATATTGTGAAACGTGTCTGCAATGTCATCATCATTACTTGCCATCATTGACTTCCTTTCACTGCTCCTGCTGACTAGAAGCACAAAGCACAACATTTACAAATTGATTTAAAGACGCAATACATGATGTAATATATGACAGTTCTAAAAATACATGCCCACATAAACAAAAATGTATGGTTATAAGTGTTGCCAAACAGCACATGAAAGGGCAACACTAAAGAAAGTCAATGTTTACTGCTTCTTGTCTGTGACTATCTGTGAAGTTCCTTCGAGTACTGTGACTGACACTGGTTCTTATGCAACTGTTTAAACTTACTCAAGTTTTCTTTCTCTTTATCCTCAAGTTTCCGCTTATGGTTCACTATCAAACTGCGATGTTTAGCTCGAGTTGATTTCATCACAGTGTATGCACGGGATCTAGAGGACTGACCAATTTCAAATACAGTCTGAAAAGAAATCAAGTCAAAGTCATGACAATGGAGATGCACTTAAGTAATTTTGTATGTTTAAAACATATAAGAATTCCTGTTCTAGCCAATGTTTACAGGTGACACAATATCTATTTTCATGGCTCTGAAAATTTTTGACAATTCAAAAGATAGTCATTTGAAATAAAGTGTTTAGAAGTCAAAAGTCCACGGAAGTTATCTAGGCTTATGGCATTAAGAATAATCACAAGTACATTACAAAGAAACTAGATTTATGGTTAAAAAAAAAAAAGAGGATAAGAAAGAAAAAGAAATGTGAACAGACTCTCTCTAGCCTTTTTTCTTTATGAAATGATGTTAACATGTATATAAACTGCTTAATAATGTTTCCATTCTTCACCAGCTGGAACAAATTCACAGGAGCACCAATTGGGGTGCCACCTGATTGCTCTATTATGGGAGGTGAGGGGATACATGTGAAATAGAAAACTACAGATAAACATAAAAGCGAGTACAACTCAGCAACGATGTTTGCATCAATGGGCACAGAGATTAAACTGCCACCTGGAAATGGTCCATATTCTTTCTGGATACACACCCAAATTTACCATTTGGTCTCACTGCTATATCCAACATGGCAAATAAGCCAGGATATGGACTTTATATTTTCCATTCTGCTGAAGCAATAACAAAATGGCTTGGAAACCAACTAAACCAAACATGTATGACTGAAGTAATGCAATGATTGGATGAGATGCTGTGGAAAGTTAATCCATTTGCTAAGTCATACAAACAAATGCTTCAACTGAAAGGAAACCTAAGAATAAATAAATCAGATGTATTGGTATTTAATTAATAACCTTTAAGATCTGCTAGAATGGTGTATGTTACACTGGGTACGGCTAGGTTTGAGGATTTCACAAAACAAACTTCTGGACCACAACAGTGAGGTATGAACTACAGTAGCGTTTCTAAATACAGGAAATTGGAAAACTATTGCTGGTGGACAGGGTATATTACAGTGTCCCACATTCACCACTAATCAAGTTGTTGGCATTTTCTGAAGTAAGAGCTTCTCTTATGAAGTCAGGTCAAAGGCCCCAGTGGCCTGGGGACAGAATTAACAGGTTCCTCCAAAATGTTGGTACCCATTTGCCTGACTACATGGCATCACAGATCAGAATACTGGAGTCTTATATGCTTCTTCCCTCCTCTCCCACTATGCAGTCACATAATTTCTGAATTTCTGGCATATATAGCAGAGTATATATTTTGTATTTTTATAGCACCACCATTCTTGAACTTGACACAACTTGGAGGTAAGTGGTCACCTTCACACTCCTACTGCTTCACTCCCATTGAAAGAGGCCCCAGTACCCACTGCACACTAGGCTGGGTGAACCTCAGAGACAGTCTGGATGCTGTCTCTTGCCCCTGTTGGGAACTGAACCCCAATTCCTTGGCCATTCAGCCCACAGCCTGTTTCTATAATAACTGTGCTATTGTGTAGGAAAAGTAAAGAGAATTACAATGTAAATTTGAGAATATTACAATTGCAAATAGAAAATTACAAGTATTTATAAGATTGTAAACAAATTAATGCAGTCATTATTGGACAAGAATAGAAAAAACTGAGTGCTCAATGAAGAGAAATGCATGAAATTAGAGGCAGACTTGAACATTCTTATCAAAAACAGCCCTGAGGTGCTCTGCACAGGAGATCATGTTTCAAACATGTCAGCAGGAACCACCACAAAACTGCTGAAACTGAAACTACTAAGATAACACAGTCACTACCAGTTAGCCTGAGATGATGCCAGGAGCATCTGCCTCTCCCACCTGAGTGCGAAAGCTGGTATGATTACAGTTTACATTTGATTCAAGTTTAACAGTGTATTACAGAAGTATTTTAATGACACTGGTAAGCCTCATTATTATTTATATCACAATATTAAAATCATATTTGTATTAGGGCAGTCCAAATTTAAAGGTACAGCATCAAATTACATTAACATATTTACTGTGAAAGAAAAAATCTTTAATGAAGTCAAGAAACACTACATTGTTTATTTTTCCATGTAGTCACCGTTAGCATTCAGATATTTATACCATCGGTTCACAAGTTTAATCATTCCTCCATGGCAGTGTTCCTTTCCAAGGGATGTAAAGTATCACACAACTGTTTTTCGCAATGCATTTTAGGCCTCTAATATTTTTCCTGATAAGTTCTTAAATGGCCTGAAGAGGTAGAAATCTGATGGCGCTAAATCAGGACTATGTGGTGGATGCTGCAGAACTTTCCACTTCAACTTTTGGAACCAGGCCGCTGCCTGGGCTGAATGTGAGGTCACGCCCCATCATGCAGAAGCCTCACTCCAGCGGTTAATCATCCTGCTCTTTTTCATTTAATGGCTTCACATAATTTTTTGAGTTTCACACTATTTGTTGCTGATGATTGTTTTTGATGGGAGAAATTCACACAGCAGGAGGCCTTCACAATTTCAGGACATGGTCACCATTGCTTTTTTTTCAAAGATGGCTCAATATTTATTTTTTCCATAGTGAGTGAATGAGGATGTTTCCAAGTCATAGCATTTCTTTACGACTCTGAGGTGATCCTATAAACCCATCTTTCCATGAACAATTCTCCTTCATCTTGGTAATGGCAAAAATTCTTCTCTTTATGTGCTCCTCTGTGAGTATTTTCAGAACCCAGCAAGAAGATACTTTACTGAAGTTTAAATCTGAGATGGTTTCATGAACAGTACTTTTTGCAATACCTGTCACTTCAGCAATTTCTTCCCTTATCAAACCTTCGACAATGACGCAATTTGCATCAGTTGCGAGGTCCTTTGTCTGCTCCATTTCTGTGGATCATCATTCCATGCCATTCGACCATGATTAAATTTGTTGCACCACACAGACATTTCCTTTGGGCTGAAAACCTTCTGATCATAAACACTCACTAACCTGCTTAGATACATGGATGCAGAACAACACTAGCACGGCTACTTCTCCTCTACCCGACATACCAATATATGCAAGTGACATTAAGAGGTTGTGCACAGGCCATGTATAACAAACACTTGCATCTTTAATATCAGGCCACCTTCATAATAAGACATTTAAACACTAAATATCCAGGTACATAATGTAATATTCTGGTATATAATCACAGATTATGACATCAGCATATCAGTGCCATTAGGATAAGACTGTAATACAATGAAATAAATCCAAGCATATTAACATACTTAAAAGATGTCATTTATAAAATAAAATCATTCCATTCCCTTAACAGGAATAAATAATACTCAATACAAATTTGAACAAATGTATATGCACTAATTGAAAAAATATTTGTTGGTCAGTTTTATGGTACCAATGAAAATGGAAAGATACATGTTATACTGTTCAGACAGCTATACTGTAAGAAGAAAGTAGAGACAATATATGACGATACTTCTACTCGTAAACACTTATTCAGTATTACCCCATTAGGTCTGTAGTTCTTCATCTTTTCCAGTATATCTGAAGAACTAGACTGACTTGCATCTTGCACTAGAAATACTGGGTGAATAGCAAAACTGTTAGGATTGATGCCCTTGACACGCTTTACGCTTTCCACAGAAGCTCCAGGCCTTGAGCGGATGTACTGTCTATAGGCATTAGCACATACCTTCTTCATATTCGCCTTAAAAAATAAGAAGATACACCATGTGCATAAACAGCAATTACTGTAAGACTGCATGGGTATGTTTTAACAAAGACAACATTCAAAAGAAGATTCTGAAGATGAAATTAAGAAGAAAGCATCCAAGAAGACAGACAGCAAGATGGGAATAACATGAGAGGAAAGATGCCACAAAGGAAGGAAGAAAGGAAGATCACAGAAGGAAACTGAGGAAGAAAAACTTTCACAAAGAAATATGCACTGCAATCCCAATTTGATATTCAGCATCAATGATCCTACGTCAATATTCACAGTGAGATATTGGGTTTTCAGACTTTATCCATCGTCCTGGTTTTTAAGAGAACTAAGAAAATCACGACGTTTCGGAAACTGGATCTGTTTCTGTCCTCAGTCACTGGTCCAGTGATTGAGGCTAGCTCTTTCTAAGGGACCCAACAGAAGAGGTGTTTTACATCACCTGAGGATGGAAACAGATCCAGTTTCCAAAATGTCGTGTTTTTTCTTGGTTATCTTAAAAACCAGGATGATGGATAAAGTCCGAAAACCCAATATCTCTGTGTGTTATACACCATCGTCAGATTCCTATAGTAACTAATTAATATTCACAGTGTTAAAATTTCCTCCCTTTCAGATTTTCCATAATTTAATGATCAAATCCACCACTACCTAAAGAAATCTTAAACAGGTATTTCAAAGAAGAAGGGAGGTTTGGTTACTTGACAGCCCACATGAATGTGGAAATGTCACACAGCAAAGATGAGGTTTCCCACTGCTCCAGCTTGCAATTGGGTTTGAGCTTCCCTCATGCTGTACATACATTTCTTTCCACTAACCAGATCATTCTCTGTTTCATGCCAAACTTTCAGCTCACTGTGTTCTTCATCCAGTAACACTTCAGGAATACGTCCAATAACACCATCTGGGAAATCATCATCCTTACTAGCTGCCTCGGTTTGTAAGGCATTAAATGGACGACCCAGAAACAAATGTAGGTCCAGCAGATATGCAAACTCATCATTTGCCACAAGTGAATAAGCTATTCCACTTCTGCCTGCACGAGCACACCGACCTGCAGGTCAATAAATATTTTCTTTAGTATAACTTCAGTTTGGTTGCACTCACTGAAATAAAAGGAAGACATGAGAGAAGAAATTCATGGTGATGGAAGAGTAACAATTTATCTGTATATTAAACATTTAAAAAAATGAATATGATAAATTTTATTTAATATAATGTTGGACATCATCCATTCTCTGCGGTATACTTGGTACACACAACATTTCAAGAACTGGCTCTATTCCTGTCTCCAGATGACCTGCTGTCATTATTTATTCACTGTATTTTAATTAGTAGCAATGGCTGGGATCTAACCTGGGACCTTTTAAGTACTAGACAAGCATGTTAATACTGGACTACTAGACAGTCCAGGTATGGCTGGTGATATTACTCTACACGTATCAATAATGTGATTTCTTACTATATCATAGTAGAGGGAGCCATGTACAGACATACTGTGGCATGCAGAGCTGTTGCTGGGTAGCAACCTCGAAGCAAATGAAGAAACATCTGCTTAACAGATTCTTAATAAGTAAATATGTAGGGCAGGCAAAATGTTCCCAGAATTCCCCTGCAGACGGAGATTGTGGTGGGAAGCTCAGCACATCTGCTCGCAGGCGCAACAGGTCTGGACAGGTTTCAGTGTGCATTGTTGTTACTGTTCCATTTGAATTAGACATGAGTGTTGGTCATTCAGCGCAATGTCACAGTTCAAACAGCGTCTGAGCATCAAGTTCATATGCAAATTGGGAAAATCTGTTTCAGAGACGCTATCGGCCCTGCAGTAAGTTTATGGTGATACTGAACTAAAGAAATCCGCAGTTTATGACTGGTTTTCCTGGTTTAAGAATGGGCAGGAGACGTTAGAGGATGATCAGTGCAGCAGGAGACCTTCGACATCCAGACCCGAAGAAATGACTGGAAAAGTGCGACAACTGGTTTGATGTGATCGAAGAATGACCATCACAGAGCTGGAGCAAGAAGTTGGTACTGTTACTGGCCATTTCTACGTGCAAGTTTTGCAGAGGTTGCGCGATGCAGTTTGGAGGAAGCGGCGCGACAAGTGGCAGGGACAGTGGTTTCTGCATCACGATAACACACCGAGCCACATATCGCTTGTTGTGCAGCATTCCTTGCCAAGAAAAACATTTCTGTCATCACTCAACCACCGTACTCTCTGGATCTCGCTCCGAGTGATTTTGGCTGTTTCCTACTCCGAAAATGGGCCTCAAGGGGACACGTTTCGCAACCATGGAGGCCATCAAATTGAATGCAATGGCTGAGCTCCGGAAGATTCCAAAAGAAGCCTTCCAGCGCTGATTCCAACAATGGCAGAACCGATGGAGCAAGTGTGTGTGCGCTCGCAAGGGTCCTACTTTGAAGGTGATTAGGTAAGCGTTGCTATATGTCCTACCATTAGTGCTATACCACCATTCCGGGAATTTTTTGACTACCCCTTGTATACAAGAGCCATTGCTGACAACAGCTTCTCAAGCAAACGTGTTCCCGCGGAAACAAGTGAACAGCAACAGAGGAAGAGTTTTTTCTGTGCAGTCTGAACTGAGATGTTATAACCAATACATGTTTAGAAGTGCTCAGTTGAAATTCAGTTAGTCTGTGAAGAGAAGACTTAGTTGTAGTTGCAAGAGTAAAGAGTTGGAAGGGAGCTGCCATTCAGAGACGACTTAAGCATGCAAGCTGAGGAATTCCATTGCTGGAGCCATTACTGGGCAACTACTAGTGAAAACAATGCAAACTGGAAGACTTAGCATGTGCTCTAGTGATTTACAAAGTGTGGAAATTAACAATGGCATTACAATTACTGTGGTCATGGATCTGTAACAGTTCAATAAATCCAATCTCCAATCCAAAATCCTGTCAACAGTCACTCATACATGTTACAATGGTGTCAGAAGTGGCTGGACTGGAGACAGCTATAAACAGCGACACTGCCTATGGAGACAGAACAAATGATGGCATGCCTGATGGTTGAAATAAGAACGAAGCAAGAGAAAACAGAAGCTAACCAAACAAAAACAGACACCAATCCAAGGGACATGAGAGCCAGCCAAGAACTCCTCAAAGAAGAAATGCTGGCCAAAATGGAAACCAACCAAGAGAGGATGGAAGCCAAACAAAAAAAGATGTATACCAAGATAGACACCAATCAAGAAAAGATAGAAGCCAGGATAAACACCAATAATGACAAATATGAGGTACTCTGAAGCACTCTCATCTCCTGGATGCATATCCACCAAGCCAGGACAGAGGCCATTCAAGAAGAGATAATAGCCAAGATGGTCACTGATCAGTGGAGACAGCAGTGCATGAGGTGGTCTCTAGAGGAGGCTGCAGCAAAAACAGTCAGAGCACTGAAGAAGCAGTATGGGGACTGGCATCTAGCCACAGGGCACAGCCGACAGCTGAGGAAACGAACCCAGGGCGATGGTGGGTCCTGGAAGAAGTTGGACACCACCTACAGAGGCTGTCAGTCTTACGCGCCAGCCACAGTTTACTCCCCAGGAAAATTAATTAATTATTTCCTGGTACTCATTTCTGTTAGAGGCTGAGTCAACCCCAGGGCCACAGTGCAGCTGGAAGGATTAGGTCAACTGAAAAAAAGTCCAATGACCTCATCGGGACTTGAACTTGCGACCTTCTGGCTTGTAGTATAGTGCCTCAACCAACTATGCTACCGCATGCCTCTAGACAATTGGGTAGTAATACAAAAATTTCTATTGCACTGAAGGAATGATTAACAAGCATCAGAGAGAAAATTTAAGAGATAAAAAATGTGATACAGTTATTTACAAAAAGAGAACATCAAAATCACATAATATATTAACTGAATGGTAAATATTATACTGTACATGCCACAGCACTATGGAATGAACTTTATCGTTAATAGGAAAAGTAATGAGAACTAGTACTTACCAACTCTGTGTACAAATAACTTGGATTTAGCTGGAAAATTGTAATTTATGACAATGTCCAGCTCAGGAATATCAATGCCTCTTGCAGCCACATCTGTCACAAGAAGAACTGAAACTTTGCCTGTCCGAAACTTGGCTGCATTGATCTTCCGAGCAGAAGGGTCCAGGTTAGAATATATGTAAGTGTTTGTGATGCCAACCTTGTCTAGCAGCTGAAATAAAAGAAAACTATGGTAAAACTCTATAAAAAAAAAAATGTGTCACACACTTGGTTATTAGTAACAATTTTAAAGTTATCACAGGAAAGACTGATTTTATAGAGCTCACTTTATTTTATTATGAAATATGTGATGTTGAATATTTTTACAGACAATAATTTTGAATGGGTTGGAAAAATTTCAGAAGAAATAATAGTAGGACAAACCAGAAGAGAGAAAGCAGAAACAAGAAAATAAGGGTAAATTTAAAAATAAATACTGTGGAACGTAAATTTTAAGAATGAATGAAGATAAAATTCCAATGAAGTCTTTGAACAAGAAATCAAAGGAAAACACCTGTGGGAAACACACCCATGACAGAGAACAGGATCAAGATAGGACAAATAGGGCAGGAAAGAAAGGAAGGAAGAGCATGAGAGGAAACTGAGTAGGTGGAACTTTGGGAAAACAGACATACATGTAGAGGCTTAGTTCCTAGATAACACATCTAACAGTGAAAATAATTAAGGAAGCTGTATAAATGCCAAATGCCAATTCCACATGCTGGATAAATATAATTGCTTTGAAAAAGTGAATTAGAATGAATAACTGCATAAAAATTATAAAATGTCTTTGAAATTTGTGCTGGAGCAGATACTTGGATACCAGGTAACTGTCCATATAAGGTATTACAAACTGTAATAACGTGTGAACAGAAGAATTTAATTTCATTACCACAACAAAAGCAAAGGTACTTCTTACCATATGTAAATACTCCACATGATGTTTGGTGGCAGCAAATATAACAATAAGAGATTCTGGTCTTATAACATGTTTCAAAAGACATAACAATGCAGCAGATTTATCTTCTGATCGACAACACACAAATGCAAGCTTCAATTGTTCTGGGAGCTTTGATTCAACATCCAATCTGAAATGATTGCAACAAATACCATTACCAACAATATCTTGCTTAACCCTTTGACGCGGTAATTTAAATTCCGCGGCTGCGTCTCCTGCGGTAATATATTCAGCCGGCNCAGATAAAGTCGTGTCTTATTTATACTCTGTTCTACTGACAACAGGCCAGCGAAAAATCTAACAATCTACAGCAAAACCATCAATTATTATGGGCGTTATAACATAGGTGTGCAGCTGAACGAAACATACACGTCGAACCCCCCCAGACGATTTAAATCCCTGACGAAACATACACGACGAACCACGGCAACGGGTTAATGCTTTATATAGGGCAGTCAGTATGAAAGTTTACAACAGGTTGGTCAACTACAGCAACCAGAATTGAAATCTTTGCTGTATACTCAACACTATCATCACAGTGACATTCACATCAGACTGTAAGTACATTTGTTTTCAACTGTATACACACACACACTTCTTCAAGCTCAAGAATTTGACACTACAATTACTTTCATTATCTTGACATTACGGTTGCTACCATTACAATGGTTGGGGGTACATGGTAACATAGTTGGTTGAGGCACAATGCTACAAGCTGGAAGGTCGCAGGATCGAATCCCGATGAGGTGGATTTTTTCAATTTTTCAATCCTTCCAGCCACACTATTGCCCTGGGTTTGACTCAGCCACTAACAGAAACGAGTACCAGGAATAGTCTGGGAATATTCTTGGGTGTAAAGGGCAGCCGACACTTAAGGCTGACAACCTTACAGCCATCTATGAGCCGATTGTCTAGAAAATGTGGGAACCTCAACATCTCACAACTCTATGGGCCTCCACAGCCTGTTACAGGGATACCTTTACTTTACTTACCATTACAATGCTTAATATTTCTTACTGTGTTTACTCCATTTTGGTTAGGGCATTAATGCCACTCACCACATAGTTATTACCGACTGTAAAAGAATAAAAAGCACAGGTATGGAGTCATCTCCAATGATATAATGTTCATACTAATTTTTATCAAAATCTGTCCTGTAGTTCTCAAGTTAAAATTGTGGTTGGATGGATATAAAGTCATGTGGACAGACAGAAATGGCCACTCCTACATGCATTCTTTCATGCACACAGAAAAGAATGTAAACCAAGCTTTCCCTACCTTATCAACACAGGATCACTTAGACCAGCTTTTGCAAAATCAACCAGTACTTTCGGCAATGTTGCTGAAAAAAGAAGTGTTTGCCGTCTCTCTGGAAGCCTGCTCACAATATCATGTAACTGCTCACCAAAACCCATTTCAAATAACCTGCAGCAAAAATATTTTACATGAGATTAACCTTTAACGGGCGAATGTCACATATATATGACACAAGCAGCAACCCAAGTTGGCCAAATGACACATATATGTGACGCAGGACACATGCTCTCTTTGGGAGTGCTCACAGTTTGACCTTGGGTTTGAAACCAAAACAAACCTATGTGGGGTCATGTCAGTGGTTCATTCCTTAGCTCTGAACAAAGAAATCGTTTATCACGGTACTGGTTTTGATACTATTTACGTTTAGATATGACTGTTTATGACCTGGTCAGCCAAATATAGCCCAGCTTTGTTTCGAGAACTGATGAGAAAAATATTCTTCTGTACTTGCATGTGAGTGCTTCCAGAGCCTTCAAGGAAGTGTGACGCATGCAAGTATTGGTTTTCAGTGGCGAATTATCAGTTAGGAAGTCAGTATCGGATTGTCTAATATTTCTTTAGTCAGTGTCGGATTGTCTAATATTTCTTTATCAGTTAGAAAGTCAGTTTCAGACTGTCATATATTTCTTTATATATCACTTTTATTTTGCGTCTTGGAAGAGGTATAAACCCATTGAGCCAGTATTACTTTGTGAGTAAATGCATCTTCGCCACTGCGACCTTCAGTATGTGTCAGACTGGCACTCTTTTCGACTAGTATTATACTTACTTTGCATCACTATTTTGCGAATATTACCAACAGGTGAGAGTGTCGCTTTGTCAATCAACATCATTTATTTGATTTTGCTACAAACCCCCTCCCCCAAGACGATTCTTCAATCGCACAACCCGAATATAACGATCAGTGGCGTTTCTCGGGGGAGGGCCAACTGAGTCGACTGGAGATGAAACATTCACAACACTGGCCAACCAAAGGGAAACTAAGACGTATTTGTTCTCAGAATAAGAAGCGCAGAAGCACGTAAAGTGTCACGTTGCGCTGTGTGGGTTCGGCTGCTTCAACAAGTAGTACACGCGCATCGAGTGTGAGTTATCATAAACTGTGAAGTGCAGCAGTTCAAACTCGCGTACAGTCTGAACAAAATATTATTGTACGAGTATATAGTGTGATTATATTTACAAAATCACCATGATTCAAGGCTGAAGAATAAACAACGGGTAAGTCCTTTGGAATTTCATGACATATATAATAAAGATCATATTTTGCAATTCATGACAAAATAATCACAGTTAATTTTCATTTGTAAAAATTGCTCTTCTGTGTACATGTAGAAAAATTTATTGTCTTTCAGGTTGTTTTTAGTTTTTATTTCTATGTTGCATAGAACGGAAAATATGGATTTTTTCTGACAGTTTGCAAATTTAATTAATCAGGGTGATTTAAATACCGGCCGCAGGGGATTCCCGGCAATTTAAAAGTCTGTACATTAAAGGTTAAACTGAGAAAAACCAGAGGTATCAAATGTTGCTGGGGCCCAGCCCTTCTCGCTCTTACGGATGGCCCAGCTCTACCTCTGCATATTATCATCCAAAGTTTGAACCATGTAGTTCACAAACTGGAGTGACTAATTTTAAATGTTGCCCTATGTCAAGACTTATTATTACCCTTAATGGGACTCAAACCCTAACCATCTACCCCAGTTGAATAAGGAATTAGCAGAGGAAACCGAAGTTCTCAGAGAACACCTGCCCCAGTGACACTTTCTTCAAAACAAATCCCAAAAGACTTGACCTAGGATTGAATCTGGGCCACTGTGTGGGAAGCTGGTAACTAACCACCTGAGCTATGGCATGGATTTAGGAGGTGTTAACTGCCTAAACAGGTCCAAGATTCTGTTACAATTAACTGCTAAACCTGTTAATACTATCACCATACCTATCTGCTTCATCAAAGACAACAAACTCCATACTGTGCAATTTCAGTTCCATCTCAACACAAATGTGCATAAATCGGCCAGGTGTAGCAACAATTATATCAGGGTTTCCATGAATTGCACTAAACTGATTGTCCATTGAGTCTCCACCTAACACATTGACTGCATGAAGTCCTGTGAACCGTCCCAATTCTTTGACAAACTTGAGTGTCTAGAAAAAGAACAACAGTACACAACAGTACAATATGAGATTTCAATAATAAAATGCTTATTCATAAATACTGTAATGTGGATGGGCACAGTGTTGCTAGGTAACTGACCGACAAACACATATCGCAGGAACGATGCGCAACATTAGGGTATATCCATTGCCAGGCAACGCATGGGTGGACATGCCTGACAACAATACATAATACGTGTTGCTGAGCAGCGATGTGTTTTCTGTGGGTGGTCCAGGCCGAGACTATATATGGAGCAGCGAAGAGTGTTCGAGCAGATTCGTCGGGAAAACCTCCTTCAAGGCAGTCCAATAGTTGATGTGTTAGTTATGTTATAATGTATAACATAAAAAATGTTATAATATATACGCGGTAGTGTAGTTGGTTGAGACACTATGCTACAAGTCGGAAGGTCGTGGGTTTAATTCCTGATGAGGTGGATCTTTTCAATTTACCTAATCCTTCCAGCCGCACTATGGCCCTGGTGTCGACTCAGCCTCTAACAGATAGGAGTACCAGGAATCTTTCTGGGGAAAAGGAGGCCGACGCGTAAGGCTGACCTTACCGCCATCTGTAAGCTAACTGGCTGGAGAAAATGTGGGAGCCTTGACATCTCACAATCCTATGGGCCTTCATGGCCTGTTACAGGGATAGCTTTACTTTACCTTTACTCTTTAGGAGACCTCTTCATATTGTAAAGTAAAGCTATCCCTGTATCAGGCCATAAAGGCCCATAGGGTTGTGAGACGTTGAGGGTCCCACACACTCTAGACCAGTGCTGTCCAACGTTCTTATGTATTCGGGCACAATTCACTGATGCCTATGGAGGTGCGGGCGCCGCTGCTGCTGCCGCCGCCGCCACCACCACCATGACTATTACTACTACTACTGCTACTACTACTACTACTACTACTACTACTACTACTACTACTACTAATAATAATAAAATTTTTCGAAAATATTTAACAGTACTCAGATGTTCAAAAATGTCTCTTGTCTTACAATTTGAATTAATATTAAAAATTGGCTCAATTATATGTGGTTACGGAGGGCACCAGAAAAATATACCACGGGTGCTGCGTTGGACAGGGCTGCTCTAAACAATTAGCTCAAAGATGGCGGTAAGGTTGTCAGCCTTATGCACCAGCTGCACTTTACTACCCAGGAAAATTATTTAATTAATTCCTGGTACTCATTTCTGTTAGAGGCTGAGTAAAACCCAGGGCCTAGTGTGGCTGGAAGGATTAGATCAAATGAAAAAAATCCAATGACCTCATCGGGACTTGAACCCGCAACCCTCCGACTTGTAGCATAGCCCCTCAACCAACTACGCTACCTCTTCATATTGGCAGTTGCAAACACTTTCCAACAATTTACCTATCAATACCAATATACAAAATAAGATCTCTGTCTGTACAATTCTTCTGCCTTTATTACCTAGGATGATGGCAGGAAGTGAAAGAGTGGAAAGCCAATATATAATACAAAATGGAAATGACTCAGTTCATCAGAAGACGGGATAGTTTCTGCCACTTGAATTTACAACATACCTGTAGAGCTAATTCTCTGGTTGGAGACAGAATCAGGGCTCTTGCACCACTCTTAGGCACTCTAGCCTTAAGTTTTTCAAAGAGTGGGATTAAAAAACAAGCAGTTTTACCACTACCAGTTCTAGCCATGGCCACAACATCACGACCTTCCATAATGAGAGGGATTGTCTGAAAAAGAATTGTACAAGATGTAACAAGATGTAATCCTAAAATGGAAAGTCAATTTGTAACTGCAGCCACTCGGGTAACCTTCGATGACAACAATTCAAACCAACTGGAAATTACAACTCTGTTAACTAGATACTTCTTCAGCAAGTGTTAAGTGTCTTTTATAAAAATCTGCTGTTACTTGCAAAGTGACACAGAAATATAACAGATAAGAAAGTAAACAAATAAAATAAAGGTATAAACAAACACAGAAATCAATAACCTTACTGTGAAAAATTTGTAGGGATGGTCAACTTTCGTACTACTTTGGACACAAGCCATAAAATTTAGTAGCCAAGCACAAAGACATTCATATTTTATCTAATCATTTATGGTTTATTTAATAACACTGTACTGTCTCTGTGGTCTAGTGGTTAAGAGTTCCTGGCTACAGATCCAGAGGTCCTTGTTCGATTCCCGGTGCCACCAGATTTTCTGAGTAGTAGTGGGTCTGGAACACGGCCCAGTCATCCTCATGAGGATAATTGAGGAGCTATTTCAAGGAAATAGCGGCTCTGGTCTAGAAAACCAAGATTAACGGCCATTGGGATTCGTTGTGCTGACCACACGACACCCTCTATCTGCTTAAGTTGGCACTACCTTCATCAAAAATTGGTGGTTGCTTGGCCGGAATTGTTCACTTGCAGACTTAAACCACGGAGTTTCGTTTTTTTGTTTCTCTGTCAGCAGCTCAGAGTATACAGCTCAAATATGAGAATAAGTAGTGAAATATTAATTGGAAAGGATGTGAACTGGAAGAGTTTCTTCCTAACTTGAGGATTTGCCTTCTAGGACTGCAGAAAACCACAAAAGACCTCAGTCAGGACAGTGAGTGTCTCAGTTAAGATTCAAACCAGGAACCTCCCAAACAGAAGTCAAAAGCATTACTACTTAAGCCAACTTGCATAGCAAGTTCATATCAACTGTGTAACATTACAGTGTACAAGCCTTTAATGAATTTCTCTGTATATACAGTTTAGGCTATTCTGGCTGTGATGAACTTCCTTGCTGCTGTTAAGGTGGTCTAAACTAAGTAAAACTGAAACCAGAAAACATATATGGAAATAACTGGATGGCATAAAACTACATATAACACATACAAATGCCACAACAGTTTTCTTAAACATGATATTTTCTGAAGAGAACTATCTTCTGGGATGTAACATGACATAGTCTGGCAGATTACCTTATAGCTCACATGGAATTTTCTGTTTACACTATGTTTCAGTGCATAAAGTCTGTGAAATTATGAGACAAACTCAAATTTAAGAATGTCAGTTTAGATATTGTCTACTGAGTTCACTACATCATACCTACAACAGGCATTATACTGAAGTTCTTATGGAACCTTTCCATTTAATTTCTCTTAAATCAGACTTCAACTTAGATTCGCTTTCCGTAATTACTTACAATGAAAACAGACCTTTAAAGACAAGAAGTAATAAATATTACCTTTCGTTGGATTGGGGTTGGTAACTTGTAACCTCTCTTCTGAATTCCTTTCAGTACAGGGAAAGAAAGTCCCATTCCTTGGAATCCACCACATTTCTTCCTAATACCATTTTTCTTCTTTATAATGTGTGTGTCATCTGTTGTTTCATTCAGATCATCAAATCCAGCAACTTGTGCTGCCATATTTTACCTGCATGAATACAGTGAAGGCACCAAATAAATAACAAAAGAAGGCTACTGTATGTACTGTAATATTGTACAAACTTCCACAAGTGCTAATCAATAATTTCATGTTGATATTCGCAATGTTTATATTGAACATACATATACCAGAGAAATTTAAACTGATATAAAATCATTTTACCAGTTTAGAGCTTCCTAAGTTGCCATATATGTCATTTAATTCAGTCTTAAACACAGTACGTTCCCTTTATATCACACACTATTGTGCTTATGCGCATATATATATATATATATATATATATATATATTACAGTGGCAGCCATACTTCTAATTAAAAATTATTAATGAGTTTAAATTACAGAATTCTAGATTAAACATAATCTACTATTTTAACTTGCATTACATAATTCCCGTGGTTTCTTGCTCATCAGTCTTGAGAACGGAGGTAATGCGTTCCCTTGAAATCTTGGTTTCTTTCCGCCAGATTACACAGCATATCCTAGATGACAGAACTGTTCAAATTCAAATTCCGCTATCATCCACCAACTTAGTTATTCTGGATCAAATAGTTTATAAAAAAGCATTAAAAGTTCTGTGAAATTTAGAGGTCTCACTGCAGTGACTATTATAGCTTAGTTGGTAAATGATAAAGGAATTGGGATTCGAAGTTAAATCTTATGGGATATAAAGTCGTGTGGTCCAATGAAAAATTATAATGGATCTTATGGAAACTGGGTCCATCTCCTCAAAAAGGGTGCAGTTGCGTCCTGATACCTGATAATAGAAAAATGACCCTTTGGAATCCAGAAATGGGAGAAAATTTCCTCACTACCTTAGCAACTAACAGTTTATCAAGAGGCCCCTGTTCCAAGAAGACAGTTGCTAACACTAACATCACTCTTCCAAATCCCTTAACCTTTCACTGACTTCGATTTTATTTACAGTCACAGGCGTATATACAAACAAATTCAACTTACCAAAGGCAACTAGTCAGTGTATTGCTAGGTTAACATTTATATGCAACAAAATTGCCTCTTCTGTGATTAATTACTGTTTTCTCAAAGTCCTTAACCACGTGGTAATAAGCAATACGAATTTTTAAACATAACCCCACAATCAGCATTACACAATAATCGCAGCCGTCGCAGCACTCGCAGCAGCCCGTGGGAACTGCGACTCAATCTCAGTGGCTGACAACATATCAGCCGTGACGTAGCGAAATCTTTGGTCCTTCCTCTATATTCAGCGTTCTATTTTACCACAGTGATCGCCGCCAGTGCCGAGAACACACTCGGTAAGAAGGTACGTTTTTCATACCTCAGACCGTGTGTACTGCCCCCCCCCAAACAACTAGTTCATGAAAAACAGCAGTAAATAACTTTGCCATAGTACATGGTAGTTAAGTTTTGACACAGACTATGACGTTTTATTTACCAACATGAGATAGTTCATGAAAAACAGCAGTAAATAACTTTGCCATAGTACATGGTAGTTAAGTTTTGACACAGACTATGACGTTTTATTTACCAACATGAGATGTCACAGGCATATTAGCACGAGGGGCCACCATGGAAACTGATAACCGCAATTTCCGAGAAATGTCGCCGATTTCAAGCGGGCAACTGGTTTCCAGATTAGGAGGCCCACACTGAGGAAACTTATGTTTGAGTAGTTGCTCACATCAACTTGGTTTTCCCACCAATATCCTATATGCATTCCTCTTCTCCCCCATCCGTGCTACATGCCCTGCCCACCTTATCCTCCTTGACTTGATCATTCTAATTATACTTGGAGAAGAGTACAAGTTATGAAGCTCCTCATTATGCAGTTTTCTCTAACTTCCTATCACTTCATTCCTCTTCGGTCCAAATATTCTCCTCAACACCCTCAGCTGTAATGTGGAATAAGGGTGACTATATAATAAGTATTTAAGACGGAAATATATGTAAAATGAATGTTATATTAATGCAACAGGATGCCTAAATACAATAATTCGAAAAGAAAATACTGGGTGTATCCGTTCTTCCATGACAATTTAATCTAACGCTTATATTGTTTCGAAATAACTTAACTTGGATCCAGACTCCTTCGTCTCATGAGAAATTCTTTCCAAAGCCAAATCTATTTTGTCCTGCCTTGCATAGTCTGGGTGGCGTTTGTTACATATACCAGGCTTTTGCTCAATTAACTGCACAAAAACAAAATTAGCAACTTCGACAAACCTACGCGACATCATAAGAAACAAATGAATCACCTAAACGCGTTTTAAAACAGTTCACACTAGGTAACCACGACGCAAAGAAATTGTGAGATGATTGGCATTCTTGGTTTCCTGGAAGTTGAGTTTCTCAGTCTTTCTGCGAGTTGCGTTGCCGTTTCCTAAATTGGCTCCTCTCCATTCAAGTACGTGTGTTGAACGCTGGCTGATATGAATTCTCGGAAATTGCGGTCGCGTTGCGATTGCCAGTTGTCTTAGCGTTCCCTTGCGCAAATGTTCCTGTGACATTTCATGTTGCCAAACGATGCGTCAAAGACTGTGTCGAAACCTAACTACCATGTACTATGGTACAGCTTCTCTTTCGCGCTCTTTCATTGTTTGGCGAGCCATCTTCCGGCAAAATATGCAAGTTCTCATTCGATAGCCGATCGTGTTGGTACGCACGCGTGTTTAATGTTAGTGGGCTGTGGTAGCTACTACTAGCCGGTAGGGACAAAAAGTAAACCATGAGGTGCTGATGTTGGACGTGTTCTGCGCGTTTCTGAATGAGTGCGTGTCAAAAAAATTGTGTGACGGTTACGTGTTATCGTGCGGGAATTTTGTGAAGCTCGTGTGCATAGATTTTTCTTCTATTGTACCTTGTATAACGAACGTGACGTGTCACCGGGCGAGCTCGTCTTGGATACACCGTAGTAGGGTCGCAGGTTTCAAAGCGGTCGCGAGTGAAAGTGTTGCTGTTACGCGGTTCGGCCATATTTTAGCCCTGCCCGGCTGGTTGGCTGGGGCAGTAAAGTGAGGGGTTAGAAAATTGAAAAACAGACACGCCCCACAATCGTGAAAAATAGCTTACAGTATGTATGTATGAATGTGAGTGGTGTCCATGCTTACATGTGACATTAATGGTTATGTATGACCGTAGTATCTGCGGGCCCGGCAAGTGAGTGACAAGTGAAATACAGAACCCACGAGAGATTCCCACGCAAGCTGACCGCCGGACTGTCTGCAGCGAAACATGGCTGACGACGAAGTGTTATTCGATGACGTTTATGAACTCTGTGAAATCATTGGCAAGTAAGTTACTAGAACATGTCCGGTACAATGTGTATGCACAGCCCATAAATCTACATCCGTCCATGTCCAGTTTTACTTGTTGCTAATCAATGTTTATCTTCTGTTAAGAGGTTATGAAAGCATGTTTTTATTCATACACTGTTACTTTTGTCTGCGCCAAAATGGGCATAGTATGTTCACCGAAATGTTCATTAATCACAGTTTGTACATATAATAAACTGGTTGTTAGTGGAAGAGCCCATCAGTGAAAGTGGACGACCCCATCAGGCAAGATAAATAAAGATCTTGGGCGAGCTCTATTACTAAATTGTATTAGAACATTGTTTGACGAAAGTTTGACTGAACTTTAGAGAGGCTGAAGAGAAGAGTGACCAGATCAGTTGGATTAGGAAATTAGGTCCGTAATTAGCCAAAAGTCAATTCATTTAAGAAACATTTTTGTTTGAATTTACTGTATGCTTCGTTTATTGCAAATATTTGCTTGTTTCCACATTTAATTAAAGGTGATGTTTTCTAAATTTATAATTGAATGTATAATCACGTTGCTCCCACGCTGAAAATTTACTGTCATATGTAAAACTGTGGAGGCTAGCTAGAATAAGTTTTTATAAAACTGGTGGTAAAAAATGAAGCAAATGATCATTTCCAAGTTCTTCAAGTTAGGGAGAGAGGGACATAGATATCTTCTAATTGTAGAAATATACCTTCTCTGTCAGGAGGCACGGCCATAAGGAAGTGACTGCAAAGAATCCCCTCTCCACCACAGAAAAGAGTTGCTTAATGTAGAAGCAGCAATATACTTTGTAAACCAATTCTTCAGTTCTGAAGATCAGAGCTGTAAAATGATAATTTCAGATAGAAGCATTTCTTCCATATATTTTTAGATGACTTGCCAATGTCATGGCCATGCTGATGAATCAAGTGAATATGTTTTTATAAATTTTTTCCTATCCCAAGATTGTTTCTTCAGTGATCATTTGCCCATTTCCACAAAATATGTGCATCAGCAGAAATCAGATGGAAGTGATAAGTTCATTGGAGCACACATTATAGAGATTGTAGTCCTTTTATCTTCCAGACAGCATAAAATTCTTCAGTTATTCTGCCATTAGGAGCTCAGGATACCGCATTTTGTTACTGATTAATTTCACTTTGATATAGCTACGGGCTGTGGACTGGACGACCGAGAGGTCGGAGTTGGAGTCTCGGTAGGGTCAAGAATTTTTGCATTTCAACATCGTCCAGGTCGGCTGTGGGATTCACCCAGCTGTCTATCTCATGGGTACCAGGGACTCTTTCCCCGGGGGTAAAGCGGCTGCGGCGTGAAGCTGGCCACTTACCTTTAACTAGCCACGATGTCAAGAAATTTTGGATCTATACATCCACTCCCCCATACATCTGCATGGCGTAGTGTTTAATTAGTTAAACACTGGGACAACTTTAACTAAATTGAGCTGAGCCATATTTGAGAAGCTGCCAGCTATTAAGAAGTTTCCAGCATTTTGTGGAACCCGGAGGTTCATTACCGTGTTCACAAGAGCCCGCCACTGGTCCGTAAACATAGGCAAGTCACATATGCTGTTCTTGCACAGCATTCGACCTGTTATTTGCTCTTCCCGTTCAGTTTCATTGCCTACCTACATGATTCTGCCGCAGCCAAGCAGACTTTTGCATCTCTCGGAATAATAAATGTGAATTTTTAACCCTCTGTTTTTGTGTTATAATTGTTTTTGGTATGGCACTAACTTCACCGACAAGCGGCGGTCACGCGAAGGGTGTAGTTCGCGTACGGACTAGAACCACGGATTTTTTTTAGTAGAAGAATTGTACAATAAAGACTACTGCAGTATAGTAACATGATGCACACAGCTATGATTTCCAGCTCCATCACTTGTGAAATAGTTTGCTTGGACACATCGTAACCATGCGTAAGAACAAGGCCATCCTGGAGGGGGGGCACTGGGTCGATAGTTTTTGTATGGCCCGTAAGCTAAACAAGGCTGAAGAGATGTAGTCCATATCGTAATATACACAGTTTCCGAATTATTTCTTTGTTCATTTGTTCTGTGAATGCCCAAGGCTATTACGGATAAACTTTATGAACATGTTAACAATGTTAAATAAGGCTACAATTTTAAATATAATGGGCTTTTCAGCTCGCTGCTAAAATTGCCCCACAGAATACAAACGGGTTATATCGGCGACGTGTTTTTGCTTCGTGAATTAGAATATTTTTATGAAGACAGTCGTCTTCTGGGTTTAGGCGCCGTGTAACCCAGAAGACGACTGTCTTCATAGTCATCGCCGTGAAAACCTCAAAACTTACATAGAATATTTTTAGTTCAGAGTTTGTAGGCATGTGTGTGATTCTCTTCAGTTTTTACATGCCTATCTTCAGTGGTGATATAATTATTGTTAAGAAACAGAAAGAAATTATAGATTTAATGGAGTCGGTGTTTTGTTGTCTTGGGTCAAGAAAGAAACAAAGTTTCCTTATTTTTGGAATTTGTAACCGTAAATAATTTTAGGAGCCTATATTGTCACCAGGCCGGTCACGGTAGGGTCTAAGGCATGTACTGTCTTCGCTCGATTGGAAACCGGGATCGTGGGTTCGAATCCTACTCAGGGCATGGATGTTTAGTTTGTGTGTGTGCGTTTTTCTGTGTTTGTGTACAGGTAGAGGCCTTGCGACGAGCTGATCACCCGCCCAAGGAGTCCTACCGAATGTGTAAGATTTAGAAAAACCGAAGTGAACGGATAAGTTCATGGAGGTAGGCCTAGGCCCACTGGGGCTGTAGTGCCAAGGAAAAAAGATATTGTCACCAGTATCGCTCCCAACCAACAAGTTCGTGCCTCCGTAATGTTGGTATTACTGACTGTAGGAGTTGAAGCGTGTGGATAGATATACAGACACGACCGGCCCTGTTTGCGTTAGTTTCATGTACGTCGTGCAAAGAACGCATAATGAGGTGAAACCTGAAAGTCAAATCGCACACACTGTTTTTTTTAACGCAATAGAGGCAGTATGCCGCGAAATTTTACTTAGGAAAACCAAAGAGAATGGATTTGATTATTGAACGTTTCATTGTCAGAGATGCTCATATTTTTGCCGTAAATAATTGTAGAACATACTATAAATGCTTGTGAATATGAATTTGTTGAAAACTTAGTTGTATAGTTACACAAGGGCATAGCGGCCTCCGTAGTCTAGAGGTAACGTTCCCACCTCATGACTCGTAGTACGCGGGTTCAAATACCCGGCGGAGGTCGTCGAATTTTTAAGGGCGGAAAAATTCAGGGAACAAGTCCTCCGGGAGGGACTTTGAGCCGTGGGTCCCGTGTCGTAGCTTTACGGCACGTAAAAGAACCTCATATCTCCAAAGGAGGTCACTGAGCCAAATTAACGGACATTTCCCTCCCATCAGCAGTCTCTAACACCTCTGGTAGATGGGGGAAGCATTATAGATACCTCTCAGCTAGTAGAGCCGGTCTCGCTGGCTGGGTGGGACTGATGGTAAGCACCAATACCGGTAGGATATAGAGGCTGGTAGAAATCATAGAGGGAAGCACAATGGACCACTACAGGTCTAAGTGCATGGGGAAACCCACCCTCTCTAATAACTAACTAACTAACTAACTACACAATGGCATGGAGTCAGTTTAATAAGACAATAAGGAAATTCAGAAGTTGTTTTCTGTTCTTTTTGCACCCACTTGTAGCATAGGGCATCCGTGAAAGGCTTCGTTGCACTTCAGTTTCTTAGGGCGAGAGCACACCAAGGAAACTGGCAACCGCAACTCAACCACAATTTCCGAGAATTGTTATAAGTCTCAGTTGAACACATGTTACTGAATGGAGCAGCGCAAATTGAGGAAACGGCAACGCTCAGGAAGTCTGACGGCAAGCCTTGCACACAAATTGTCTCGATTGGTGAACCGACAAAAGCATCTCAACGTCGCTCGCTATCCACCACCAGCTGAGCAAATCCAAAACTTATGTTCTTTCGCCGCATTTTAATTGAATCATTTCAATATGTTAAACAGTTTTTGAATTATAAGTTTTTATAACCTCTTTATTCCTTCTCGATTGCCCTGTATTGTAAAAGAGTAAAATGGTTATTAATACGACATTTGATAAACCAGTAGTGGTTGCAGTCGTGGCTTGATATATTATTTTGAAATGAAGAAGAATATAAAGGCGGTTGTGATTAGATTTACCGCTTTGGATACTGTCACGTGTCCGGGGTTCCGTGACAAATAATTAATGGGTTGTGGCTTTGACGAAGCGGTTTTAATGGACAGCTCATTTACAATTACACTTACAATCACTCTGACATAACTTCTTCCATACGATGCAACCCGACTAGTCCATAATCTCTGACCTCTGATCTGGTCTTCTCGCCGCTCCTGTCTTATCTACGCTGCGGTCTGATCTTATCTCTCTGGTCTTAATTCCCACCTCCTCGGATGTGATCTCCTCTGGTTATAGCTGGTGTAATCTCCATGAGGTATCATTCTTATTATCAAAGTACACGTCAATAATGCAACAGTATAAAAGACATCAAGATTATATCTCACTAAAAATGTATTTTAATACTTTACTTTAGTTCGCTGGCGGACTAAAACCACGG